GGCTTATAAATGAACTCGAACCTTTCTAGTTCTCTAGACATGTTCTGACATCTGCTTTCATCTCCACTCTTTTTCCTCCCCAGCCTACCCCCGCCTCCGTGCTCCTCCCTTTCCTGTTATCTAGCCATGTTCTGGCATTGGTTTTCAAACTCCACTTTCTCCCCCCAATCCCTATCTGAAACCTCATCAAAACTTCTTTCTCCGTTATTTCTGACTTGTTCTACTGCTATTCCGGACTCCTTAAACTGTTGTTCAACTACATCACTGATCTTAGGGTAGGTAGCCTTTTCTGTTACGGGCAAAACATTATGTTGGAGGTCTGGTTTACAAGTTGTGCACGTTAAGATATCTTGGTGGTTCTAAAATGGATAAAAATTGGCTTCGACCAACACATGGGGAAAAATCAAAATCAATTCCTACCAAAATTGAAAATAATCTAGCTAGTACCAAAAAAAAGTGCCTTCGAAACCGGAATGTGACTGACAGAGGGGAAAGGGCACTCCCTACCAAGCAGGAAAAGACGGTTACATCAGTAAAAGTCAGAACCAGCAGTTGGCTACCCCTGAGATCTAGCAGGGAACGCAAAGAAGAAGAAGAAGAAGAAGAAGAAGAAGAAGAAGAAGAAGAAGAAGAAGAAGGAGAAGGAGAAGGAGAAGGAGAAGGAGAAGAAGAAGAAGAAGAAGAAGAAGAAGAAGAAGAAGAAGGCACTGCTACTCACATGATGGTCATGACTGATCCTACAGACAAGCCGCCAGAGGCTGATGACGGTGAGTAGCCCGGGCAGCACTGAGGGGCTGTGAGCGTGAATTGCTGAGGATATGTCAAATATCTTACTGAACCAAATCTAGCTATCTATCTATCTATCTATCTATCTATCTATCTATCTATCTATCTATCTATCTATCTGTTAGTCAGTTAGTCTGTAAGCGTGTTTGTCTACGTGTCAACGTTTCTGTGGCTCTATAACGTGATATAAGTTTAAGCAAAAGGTAAACGCCGAAAGGTCTGGCAAAATCTATCCCAAAAATAAACCAGCTCTCCTTTTCTAAATTAACGAGACAAGTCACACGACCAGCAATGCCCTCATCGAAACAATTCAAATATTTCGCTCATGATTGGATGTATCTAAGTCTTTGTAGCAGAACGGATCAGTCGATAGGAAAACATGATCTCTGACTATATGCATTACATGTAAATTACAGGGGGGGGGGATGACATTTTCTTTAGAATAAGCTTAGTGTGTGTATAATCTGTAAAACATAATCATGCATCCGGCATACAAGAAACTGGTGAAGCGAAAGTGGACAACAGAGGGAACAGACTTTGCTTGATCAGAGGTTTATGATAATTATAATATTATCTTCGTCTGAGTATCAGCGGGAGACAGCTGAAACAGGGGAATACGATGATTTATGCGCTCATCATCACAATTTTGAGATTTCAAGAGGTGGACTGCTTCGACTGTACGCGTACTTTCCATTGGCAAAAATGGGTTGTATGGGTTACTTTTACACGAAAAACAGGGGTGAAAAACCTTGGCGTTGGTATGACTATGTAGTGAGAGACACTGCGTACCAGATTTCGACTAGCTAAGATTAACCTTTTCAAGTCGCATGCTATGTACGTGAGTTTCATTCCTGTGTGTGTAAGTTTGTCTTCCTGTCTCTATATGTCTTTTGACTGGAATGCCGTATCCCTCTCAGTCCAGATTGGCCCTGGTAGTGAGGATTCGTTTAGTTCTAGCTCTCCGGTTCTAGTAGAGTTTTTACTGTATAAGGTCATATGAGCGTCAAGGGGTGGAGGTCAACAGAGAAGTCCTTACAGGGAATCAGAATTACTCTGCTCACCTCTCTAGCTTCAACAGCACAAAGTCTGCTTCGATTATCGAGGCACCCCGGAAATAGAGGGTCGCAAGAGTGTGACAAACAAACAAAAGAAGTAGAGGAAAAATGACGATAGTAAGGATTAGGAAAGAAAAAGCAGCAGTTCCTCGTTTCAGTTCAGGCACAGTGATGAGCATGACATTGATGAGTCATCCCATTTACAATTTACAACTCTACTGTGCATAAGAATGTTAATGTACCCCCTTTGGAAATGGCATGAAGACACTTCAGTCAGTAGTACCACCCCAGGGGGTAGTGAGGATTCGGGATGCCCACCCCCTAAATTCTAAATTCTGTCAATGGGAGCGTAAAAAAACATACTGTGGCTCATAAATCTGGGTTGTTGGAGAACTGAAAACTCGAGAAATCTCGTGTTCATGGATTGAAAGTTGGATTATCCATATTATTTCAAGGTCATCAAAAAGTAGAAACAAGTTATTTCTCCGTATCACTCGGTATGTACAGAAAAGCTCCTGGAACGTTCAGTATTTACCTTCATAAAACATAAATGCTACTTCGAACAGTTATTAAAACTAGTACTTTGTTTATAATGCCTCAAAACAATGTCACAGCAGGAGTGATGCCTTAGAGGCTTATATTTCAAGGAGGTCACTACTAATGATACATAATGAATTATGAACAGAATCAGTACGTTTAAAGAGAAATATAACTCTAATGAAACTACATTTTGGCAAAAGCATACATACATAAATAGACGGATAGCCCGGAATTTCTTGGGTAAAAACCATCGACACAGCAGATCCACTGCCACATATGCAAGTCACTTCAGCTTGTCTGAAAGAAAAGTAGAGCGGTAAAAAAGTTAAAGAACTGTCGGATACATGTGCTTTAAAAACCTGTATTTCTCTCTAAGTGAGGGTTGTTTTAGCAAATGCTCAAATCAAAATTCAAGTGTTTAAATACTGGCACTTGGAATGTTATAACAATGTGTCAGAAATGCAAACAAGATACATGAAGAGAATCCCGTTCAATGTTTTGGGAGTTTCAAAGGTAAGATGGAAAGAAGGGTCTTCAATCGAAAGAGGGAGTAAAATCAATTACATGTATTATGTTCAGGAAGGAAGCACATGTAAAAGCTGCAGGGAATTCCATTTGATGAGACAAAACAGAGATCATCAAAGGTTCTTAGTGTCAGATACGGCTGTCACAGCCAAACTGGAAGAGAAACCTTTTGGCATGGAGTAATTCAAAAATATGCACCATCGTCTGAGAACAACAATGAAGAAGTAGAAAAAAGTGCAGCAAGGTCTGATAAAAGGTGATGAAACACCATATGTCTGAGGATATACAGGTGGTCATGAATCAGATCAATGAAAAAGTAGGACACACTCGAACAGAAGATATTTTAGTTGAACCAAGAGGAACAGCTTACGAAGATTAACGTTGTGCCCTTCTTATACAATGGTACAGAAAGGACCATTCCATGAATTAGAATTCCTTGTATGAGTCACTAAAAAGGGCAGTACATATGTCTGGATCCTGGAGTTAGAACTAGATCAAGAAATCAAATAGACGTTATACTTGTACACATTTCAGAAAGGCTAATAAGTCATCAAGATCATTGCCAGGGGCGGATAGTGATGGTTATTTTCTTTGCACTTCCAACTAGGTCTAAGGGGTAGTCGACTGCTGGTTTTTCAACCTGCCGTGAAACTGACATTTTTTCCCTACTTCGTGGGGCCCCTTGTTTTTAGGCAGATACAATTTTTCAAAGGCTCTCTATTTTTAAAAAAATACTGGCTAGAGTATTTTCAGTTTTGGTAGGAACTGTTTCTGATTTTGCCTGGGTGGCAGCCTAAGCCGACCTCTTATTGATTTTAGGAACCTAATATCAGGGATGTCGCTGAAAGACAGCAGTAAGAAGGGACCCGGAATAGCAGTAGAAAAAGACAAGAGTGACGGAGAGAGGAGCACAGAGTAGGTCAGAGGTGGGGGTGGGTGGAAATGGAGAAAAAATCAGAAGACAAAACATACTAGACAAAAGGGAAAAAAAGGGTGAAAGGAGACAATTGTAGAGGACGTTTTGAAAGACTGGGAAACATCGTATCTCTGTAACACGAGAGCCCCCCTGAAGACTGATAGAGTACAGAAAGTAAATCAATTGAATCTGTGCTGAAAGAAGCCAGGACAGATTATTATGGCGGTCACTGATAACAACAAAGGAGAATTAGAAACACATGCAGTTCTAAGACTTAAATCGACATATAGTCTTGGTCACACTGGACAAATAATTGGAAAAAGAGGCAGAGGTAAACCAAGAGAACTTGAACCGATCAGTGAAGAGAAAAGGCTGTGATAACGTGGATTTTTTGGGGGGTAAAACCCGAGCAAAGAAATGAGAGGTGAAACAAACTCGTCGACGTCTGTTTCAGATCTGGAACTTCAAGAAGCAGAACGGTCATAGATTGATAGATAATGTTATTTTCAAAATCCAGAAGCTGCCACATATTCGGCCTTCTTCTTGGATTATTTGACATCATTGAAAAATTAATAACCCCCCCAAAACCTCCCCACAAAAACAACGAAGAACAAACAAACAACAACAACCAAAAATAAAACAAAAACAGAAACAAAACAAACCTAACAACAAAAACAAAAACAAATCAGCCCCCAAAAACAACAACAAAAACAACACCAAAACAAACTAAAACCAAAAACTAATTAAATTTATGAAGTTTACAGTAGTAATCAATCAGTTCTGGAGGATTTGTATAAGTAGAACTCCTGAAAATGTCAATACCAGTCAGTTTGGCTATGTTGTATGATCGAAGATAGTAAAAAATCAAGCCTGAAAGGCATTTGTTAAACTGTGCAATACAGGCGATTTGTTTGGCTACAATAACGTTAGAATGATTAAAATGTCAATAAGTAAACGACACAATTTGTAAAAAATGTAGTGTCTTCTTTTACAACCTATCGCTCTGTTCTTCCTATCTGTATGTCTTTCTTTTTTCCTGCACCACAAGACGTAGGGCAAAGTGCTTCTCATTAATCACAATTAAAACGTTCTAAAGGTACAATGTACGCAGGTTTAAAACTAGATTTTCTTACATAACATGAGTTTTATATTCGAGTTATTCTACTACTACTCTTGAAAGGGCTGGCGGCAGTGAATATCCTTATGCTCTCCGTGAACTATAAACTCCGAAACGTTTGAGTTCAACTTTTGATACATTTCCTAGCCGCCGTGGTGGAAGAAAGACGAGTATAATTAATCCACTGTTAAGTGAAACACGGATTCAGAAATAAACATAATTTAATGTGTATGTAAGCCAACGTGCCTCTATCTATTTATATACCTACATCCATCCATCTATCTATCTATCTATCTATCTATCTATCTATCTATCTATCTATCTATCTATCTAGATGTACGAGTATATATCATAGCTCTGGAAGGTATCCTCATCTTACCTTTGTCCGTCTGTAGCTGTCATTACGAATACTGCGTGTCCAGTGGCAACCTTGACATTCACAAGGTCATCTCTGTTAGTTCCCAATTCATAAATATATGAAGCTGACTGTTCCTGCACTGCCTGGAGAAGCAGTTTAATGCTACATAAATGAGAAATAAAAAGACGTACAGACAGGTAGACAGACAGACAACAGAGAGACACGAAAAAGAAGGGAGGGCAGATAAACAATCAAAAGAAACTGATAAGACTATTTAACTCATTAACAAAAATTCCTCCAAGAAGACATTCATGATACGTTGTATGAAATCACCCATGCGATTGGTCCACGGCTAGTTTCGGTTTGAGTGAGATGTCATACTGGATGCAAAAGAAAGATTCCGTCGTCGTTTTGGTCAGATAATAATAATAAATAGCATTTGTATAGCTCATATCCCCTCTCAACAGCAGGCTCTATGCGCTTTACACTATATTAGTACCCCAGCAGACCATAGAACACTCCGAAACATTCTCAGCTTCCCGGAAAGCATACAGTGCAAGCAGCTGATTAAGAGCTCAAACACTAACAAACTGACAAGATCTTTCGCTGTCTATAGCCGGGTACCCATTCCCACCTGGGTGAAGTGAGGAAAATTCGTGTAAAGTGCCTTTCCCAAGGACACAACGTCGGGACCCTGACGGGATTCGAACCCACGACTTTACGGTTGCGAGTCCAAGAGCCTAACCACTAGGCCACCGACGCCACAGTCAGATCTACTTTCAAAAACATTGTATGACAATTCAAGACATTTTGACCAATGTCTCGACCCCAGAGTTCATAGTGATATACGCCCCCCCCCCCCACCCTCCCCTTGTTTTTCTAGGAAGCAGGGATAGGACTGGGTTCTTATCAGGAGTCGATAAAACTACCCCCAAATAAAAAGTATTTTATTACAATGACGTCGTTCGACATTTAAAAAATCCGTCAACGTATTATTATAAAAAAACACTTCTCTGTGAACATCCTCATCGAAATAAAAATGAACATAATTTTCTACTTTTACAAGGGAAGTGTGTGCGCTCACCTAAAAAAATAAAATAAAGAATTATTCGTTTACGATTCGTCTAAACTCATTTTTTGTGGGTCAGATGTGGTGTTGGTGTTCACAGAATTGGAAAGGGTTAAGTGTTGCAAGAAACGAAGAAAAAACTGGAGAAAAAAATGAAGGTAGAACTGCATTTTTTAAAGAGAATTATTTGGTAATGTCCTGAACAGCTTTATGAGAAACTCTGTAAAAAGTCTTTGCACACGGTGTCTTGGATTCGGGTGGCCATGATCGCAGATGGTCATTTCAACGCAACTCTCGCCTTTTCATTAACAATATAACATTGGGAAGGACGTAAATCCCGCAGCATAATACACTATGGTACATTACAATACAATGCAAGCTCTGAAGGACCAACATCTACAACAGTCATTGCTCAAACACTGCCGTATAGCGCAATACAAAATTCGTGGTGCAGCTTATCCTCAAATAACTCTTTAACGGGTGAATCAGTGTGACCAGCACTTGTACAAAAGTGTGCATCAATTTGTTTCAACGTTACCATATTTTCCCACAACAACTGAGGATAGCTTTTTAAAAAAAATGCATTAAAAAAATACTGTAATATAAAATACTACAACTCTCCGTCGAGCTGAAAATGGAAGTGTTCACAGCACTTCCCGCTTCTCATAAACAACATACGTATGTGGCCTATGTCACAGTTCATCAATGATAATTTTTGGTTGTGAAACTTCTGCTCATACTTTGTAACTTGTCCGACCAGTAGCAGCATGATGGTTAGGAGGAATCGTAGTCGGATATTGCGAAAGGAAGTTGCTTTCCTTTGACGTCGTCATTCTTAAATTTTTAGGTACCATGCAAACAATCTTAATAGATTATAATAATAGATAGCATTCAGCTCAACCGTAAGGTCTATGGGCATAACAATTTATATTATTACCCCAGCTGGCCTGACGCATTCTGGAACAATTTCAACTTCCTAGGAAGCACAATATACCGATCGGCACAATCTTAAGATTACACTGCACGTCTTAACGATAGTGTAATTGCGCGACAATCTTAAGGTAGCGCCTCGTGTTTTAACAATCGTATAATTGTATCGTTCTAGTGAGCTCTTCAGTTTCATATCTTAATTTTTATTTTTATTTAGATTTCATATTTTTACAACTTTGAAAATATGTGTGAATGTGCCGTGATGTGAGTAAAAAAATAAATAAAGATGAAAGTGAAGTCAATTTTGAGATTTGATACCTGGCATTGTATCCTTCTTGTGGGCTCTTCGGTTATTTTTACACTTTTGAAAATGTATGTGAATGCTCCTGATGTGAGTAAAAGATTGAAGAGAATTTTTGAAAAAAATTGTTTTAAAAATATAAAACATTAGCGCAATTTTCAGATTGCAGCGCAATTATACGACTGTTAAAACGCGCGGAACAAATTTTAATTTAGAAGTACCGACAAGATCTTCCGCTGTCTACGGCCAGGTACCCATTCCCACCTGAGTAAAGTAAGGGAAATTCAAATAAAAGTGCATGTCCCAAAGACCAAACGTCGTACCTGCGGCTTTGAACTCCCGAATCCGCAACCTCACAATTACGATCCGGTAGCCTAATACGGGGTGCCCACTACGGCTGGGATCGGCCGATTGGGCCGATCGCCCGACTCGATCGCCTCAAAAACAAACGTGTTTGTTTTCAGTTTCAGGCGATCGAGTCGGGCGATCGGCCTGATCCAGCCGTAGTGGGCACCCCGTATAACCACGAGATTACCGACGCCATCCTCTCAAACAACTCTTAGGGTGTGGAACTTTTAGAATCTATTGGTACCGTCGATTGGGATCTTTGAAAAAAAAAAAAGTATCTAGCCCTGAAATTTCTAGAAAAAAGCGACCAGGTGTTTAAGAAAGATGCATCTGTTGAGACAAAATGATATTTAAAAAATATACAAAAGTTGGAGAGTCTATGTTCGATAGCTGAGGAGATATTTGACTATAAGTTGCGCCACAAAGTTTTGACCACACTATAATCATTAACAACAAGTTGATACTACGTGCCAATACTGAAGAGTATCCAATTATTTATCTTACCCCAACGCCGTTTAAGCTCTGGTAGTCAAAGTTATCACATGGATTCCATAGGAAAGTTTGCGAACTTGTAGGATCTGGAATTTTGCGCCTGTTCAGAGTATAATGTGACAAACATTAAAAACGTACGAAAATCAACTTCATATTTATCAGAATTGTAGTAGTCGTAGACATGAGGTAATCTGACAGGGGAGCAAATTGAAATTCACGAAACAAAATTTGACGCTGAATCACTAAATCAGTACATTATCCCAGTAAGGTCACTCAATTAAGGGAAAGGAACATTTTAAAATCCAGTAGTCAACAGGAACAGAGAGTATAAAGATTCAAATCCAACATCATGACAATACATACAAAGAGACAACTCGGCAATTGAAAGTATATACATATATATATATATATATATATGTGTGTGTGTGTGTGTGTGTGTGTGTGTGTGTGTGTGTGTGTCACAGCGTGCTAGAATCAGGCGCTCGTCCGATTTGGGGCATATGGGGTTATTGGTATCATCTTAAAGACACGCAGTTTGCCTTGCTTTGGGTGAACAAAATATCAACCTATGTTGAATAGAAGTCAGGATATTTGCGATTGAAAGAGGTGGAGGTCGCCTTCTTTGAAAGGTAAAATTAGTGAGAAAATAGCTGCCAAAGTTTGGTAATTTTTACAGCTTGAGAGTCCTTGGAAACTGAAAATGTACAGTTTTTGTGCCTTTAATCAACGTTTTTCAGAAAAATGAACACGGAAAAGTATTTTTTAACGGACAGAAAAGGTGTTGGGCCGAAATAGAAAATTAGAAAAATTTGCTCGAAAGCCAGAAAAAAGCCAGTTTCTTTGATTCATTATTTTGACGCGCCCCTGATTTCACCACAATGCCTCACAATATGACAATATATATATATATATATATATATATATATATATATATATATATATATATATATATATATATATATATATATATATATATATATGTACATACTTATTATATATATATATATTATATGTGCGTGTGTGTGTGTGTGTGTGTGTGTTTGTGTGTGTGTGTGTGTGTGTGTGTGTGTGTGTGTGTGTGTGTGTGTGTGTGTGTGTACATAATTTTTACAGGAAAAGTTTTTTTTTCTGGCTTACATATTCCTCCTGTAGGGCTAGTATGTCAAAGATAGAGTTATGTTTACCAATCACTTGTCCATATATACACATTCTATCCGTACTATAACCTTTTTCAAGAAGGACCTGGGTGTTCATGGGCGGTGTCTTTTACATTGGAGTGCTGTATGGATTTTGTATCATTGTTATATTATGTATTGTACTTTAAGTTGCCTGCAAGCCAACCTACATTGTTCTCATGTTTTCCAGATCTTATCTTTCTATTACCTTATTTTTTGGATAATTGTTATCTGTCCAAAAGGTAATAAAACTAGTTTTTTTTGTCATTGAACTGTTTGTTTTTCGATTTTAGTGTTCGCACCCCCCATCCCCCATCCCTTTTCACCTCACATCAACTTTTCATATATTCTAAAACAAGAGAACACCATCCGCACAGTTAAAACTGTTTATGGCATATTTGAAAAGAGCAGAGGTTCGACTGGTCTCGGAAAATTCGGATTTTCTTAATTAATGCTGTTCATTACTTTTGCAGTTACTCTTGTATTTATGGACCGATTTAAACGACTTTTGGAACGTACATTACCAACACAAAATTAAATGTTTTTGTAACATGAGTTATTATTTGTGATTTTATCAAAATAATGGTCTAAGAAGATTTCCGAATTTTCACTTTTTGACCACAGTTTTTCTTACAAAATATAGCACTATCATTCCCACTTCCCTACCATCAATCTTAATGGATGTGAATGCTCAAGTTCGCAAAAATTTTATTTCAAAAGGTGCAGAAAGTGAAAATCTTTTGTGTTTGCCCCCCACCCCTTCTAGAAACACACAGACACCATTTGAAGAATGTAGTACTAATTGACTTACAGCACACCCAAAAACAATAATGTGTGTGTAAAACTTACGGTGGATTCGTGGACAGCGAGGACAGGTCAATGATCCCATTCTCTGACTCACACGAGCAAAGAGTCTTCTTGGTGCACGACATAATAGCGCTTACATGTGCGGTCATCAACAGACACAATAAGACAACCAAAGAGAAGGCGAGACCACTGAAGGATTCCATAGTAATTATCCTGATCTCCTGTGAAGAAAAATATCCAACCGTTTTCAGCTCGTGGGCAGGAATTACCTAAAATGACAAGATGAATGAAAAGATGAAGTGTGCAACTGACCGCTCCAGTAGTGAATCCAAATTCTGAGAATAAACAAGGGAAAATAAAACTAAAAATGCTATAGTGGGTGGTTGGCTGGTGCTTTGGTGTGGTTTGCTTCTTCTTTCCTATCAAACATCTATCGTCCTTATCTCCCCTTCTTCTTTTTTATGTTTGTTACTCTCTTGTAACACCTCTAATCTTCTGGTGCTCATATGATCTTATGCAGTTGCGAGCGCCGTAAAAACCTCTACTAAAACTTTTTTTAAATGGACTACATGTGCATACAAAAAGGAAAAACAAGACGAGTACCATGCATAATTTTTGGTGTGGGAGGTTTTCAAAATGAAATCACCCGTTATGTACTGATTTAAAGTTTCGACAAAGAAGAACAACAGAGAGACGTGAACCAATATATTCCGTAAGGTTCTGAAATAATTAAACGTTATGTTCCAGCAACAGCAGGGCGTCAATCACATAAATAAACTGTCTATCTTTTATCTAACTGACGTAGACACCGCATGCAGAAATTCGACCAGTAAGAAGACTCACAAAAGTTATCACAGCTGTTTTTGTTGTTGTTGCTGCTGTTGTTGCTGCTGCTCTATTGCAGAGCGTAAAGACACCCTTTACCGAATTGAAATGAATTTGGATAGCTGCTGTTATAACACCAAGCAAATCGTCTACCATTATATTCAAGAATACACAAACAAGTCATCCACTGCGCATAAGCTTCTGGAAACGCCCAATGTTATAGAATATTTATCTTTCTGTTTATTTGAGCAGCGAATAATTGTCCATTTGTGTTTTTGAGCTTCTATCCATCACCCTTAACATTCATTCAGAAAGCAGCATACACTTTGTTCCCATATCGTAAGTGATATCGAGGTATGACATTTTCACCAGTTGCAAAAGAAAAACACTACAACTCACGAAGTGAATAGGTCCTGGCGTTGGGTTTCACCAAACCACTCTGTACTGACTCTGTCTGGGATGTGTCTGTTGCAATGCATTTTATTAGTCAAACCTCGTAGTTTCACATGATCTACGTGTATCACGAAACCACCAGGCACTCACCACTTCTCCGACCCCTTATCGGATAGCTTGATGTGTTAATTATTCCCTGATTAGATTTCTAGTTCGTCCATTTGTCACTTGAATCCTAACCGATAATACTTTATATTATAGTCACACCGTTCTGTTAAAAAAAAGAATTTGCTTTATTGTTTTTTTAGAGGCTCCATGTAAAGCAAACATCATAATCTTAGATGCAGAGCCGCGTTGTTCTCCAACCGATGTTAGTAAAGTTTTTCGCACCTCCGCCCCCCCCCCCCAACTATTTCACAGTATACTATGTCTGTCAGTACACGTAGTTGGACGTTGCTTCTCGTGCCTTTCTGCAAGGAAACACTCAGTCTCTAGCCATTCTGCCAGTCTCGGTTGTTTTTTGGTTTAAAACAAGGTTTCTACCTCTCGTTCCAATCTTCTTTTAGGTCTCCATCTTCCACACGTATCACCTACCTTTGCTTCCACAGTATGTTTTTGAGAGGATTATGGCGTTTGATATGCTCAAAGTAGTTCAGTTTCAGATTCATCACGTTCTGGAGGAGTGTTGGTATTGCTACACCCATTCTTCTCAATAGCTCTTTATTCTTTATCAAATTTTCTGTGTGATATTTTGCTTTGTGCTATCTTCTTAAAAAGATACATGTTGTCTAAATGGTTCGAATTGTAACTTACAAAAGTTGTGAAAAGAACCCTGGCAATGAGCTGGAAAGTCATGTTGGACTGGAGCTTAAGGTGGATTTTGATTCCTGAATTCCCCTCCCTGCCTTTGGAAAGAACATTCAGATTTACTTAGATTTAGAGACTCCCACATATTGAGACGCATGTGATAATCAGAGATTAGCAGAAAGATCTGTCAGCAGCTTAGGTGGGTGCATCACTCCATTTATTGTCTTATCGTTTATGGTCTTTCCCTAGTTTCATTTTCATCTTCGGTCATCCTTCCCGTCATTTTCTTTAACGCACAGCCTGATGGGAAATTCTCGAGTTCGGGAGTCGTAGGATTTGGCCGAGCAATAATGACTTTTTTCTTTTAACGGTGTTTGACTGTTTGACAGCACCTCCTGTTGGGATCGTTCTCTTCTTGTTGCGGATTGAAATCTTTTTAGCAGATGTTGGGTGTCCCGCGCAGGTATTTTTTGTCAAAGGAGTCCAGTCGCTTAGATCGAACACGACTAATCCAAAGAAAAAAAAGTAAATCGGTCTATCGAAAGAAATAAGGTCCCCATTTTTTTCTAGTTGGGCAATCTCCCAAAACCGAAAACCCAATTAAAGAGACAAAATTCCAGCAGTCTCGCACATTTCGGTTTAAGTGGACTCCACTGCGTAGATATCTATAAAAATACCGTCTGACCGAATTGCTACGGACTGCAGTCTGTGTGTAGCGGTTAGGCGCTTCACTATCCCACGAAGGAGACCCAGGTTCGATTCCCAAGTAGGGAACACTTTTTGTCGAGTATCTCGGTCTTTCTGCTAGGATGTTGTATCATTTTGAGCCAATGTTCACCCTGATAGGAAGGATTAGAAGCCCGCCTCCTAAACGGTCTAAGTTGTATCAATGGGGACGTAAAAACATATGCATACAAATTGCAACGGAAGACCAAAACAGCACACTAAAAAAGATGCTACATTTGAACTGATTCACAAACAAGTCACTAGCTATGACACTTTATTCTTCGGAAAGCACTTAATGTCTTCAGAGTCTCCTCAGCAATATTGCTCCTGTTACATTCACTGAAATTCAGCCAGCTGTCTGGTGCTGCACAACAGTCCACGATAAAGCTTTGTCATTTCTAGCTTTATGATAAATTACTAATGAATACACTTCACTCGGACAATGGCGTAGCCTAAGTTGGAGTTTCAAAAGAAAATGCGTCAAATCGTGAAACTGCCGCTACGCTTGAATGAATGAATATTGTAATCTTAAAAAGCGAGACTGCGAGTTCTTCTGTATCACTAAACCACTCTATGATGTGTTTTGTTTTGTGTGTATCCGGGTCTCAAAGACTGGAGGGTTTGTTATAAGCAGAGGAGGTGGCGGTGGGTGATGCTGAATAGAGAGAAAAGAGTTGTCCGATACAGGGCACAGGTAATACGCAACTAACTGTTTAACGATTCTCCCTAACACACAGGCACATAGCCTTTTCCTCGGATTTTTACCTCGACTCGGAAATAATGTTACGTGCTCCCTTTGGGTACGGCCTCAGGCATCCATAGAATGGACTTCTCGTCAGGCATGGAAATCGTAAAACAGGCGCTGTAACCCAAAAGCGGACGAGAAATTTATTTCCGTCAGAATGCAAATTGAAAAAAAAGTCAAACAACCAAATAAGTCGACAAAATCCTGCAGCATGCCCTCAACAAAAAGACCTCGCAAAGAAATGTAGCTCCTGGATGAGTAATTTAGATCCCCTGAAAGATGTACGGCATTAACATAATCATTTTTGTTGTTGTTGAAACATTGCACTCTTTTTCAGTTGCATGTTTCCTGTATACATGACAGCGCTTGCGCGTTGTCGCTCTCGTTGTATGAGGTAATTCGAACTTTCTCTTATCTGCGAGTGTCCCTTTTTTGGCTTTGCAGCTTATTATGGCACTTAATACATTGTTCTCTTAGCGGTTAAGAGTGAATGGAAACAGTGTACGTGACTGACTGTCGTCTGACAGGAAGAGCGTTATGGAAACAATAATATTTTTTATGTATCAACTTGAGGGATTTATCCGTTGAGGCAGGAATCGGGACGAAATAATCTTTTTATAAGTCATTTAGTGACAGCCGTGCCCACCAATATTGATGGTACATGCACTTAAGGAATATCCCACAAGAACCAACTACATATTCCCCCGCTATTGAAATATTCCTGAAGGTTGGTCAAGTGAGTTCCGAACGGATATCTCAAATTTATTTGTATTACTTAAGTACCTCAGACAAGCGGATTGTTTTAAAGTCTATTTCACGAAGAACTCAAGAACAAATTCCTGTAAATTTCAAAGACTTTCCAGTCGGACACCATTTAAAATACGTTTGATTTGAAGGTAACAGCATCCAACCTTTCCCTCATGATGGGTATTCATTTGAAGGTGGCGTATTCCAAAGACTGATCAGAGGCCGAAGTAGAATCATAATAAGACAATATTAACGTGGCATTGTGATGTTTTGTGTCACCTTAAACAAGGCTCATGATAATAATTTCACAAAGCCATGGTTTCGTTTCTTTCGGGGTG